GTGTCAGGTTTAGTTTTGTGCCAAAGAAGTTCATAAAAGACTTGTGGGAAAATAGTTACAAGAATTGTTAACTAATTTATATAAAGATAAAATCAAAAATTAAATAAAATAAACAATAGAAATAAAATTAAAATTAAATAACAGCAAAAGGCGGTGGGAAATAAAGAAAATAATAATGTAGCTCAGTATATAGGAAATCAAACCAATATATATAGAGAAATTTAAGGAAGAATAATACTAATAATGTAAAGTAAGTTTAATCATGAATTCAGTTTTGAAAATCTTTTCAGAGACTTGTGAAGGTCAACAATCCCGAGATGGAGATTGATACCATTTGGCATTACAGTATTTAACAGTGCTACGCAATAAGCTTCTTTAATTTCCCTGTTTCTGTTAGATGTAAAATTTGTCTCTATACCCATAAGTTTAATGTCTTCAAGAGAGTGACCATGCATGTTAAACTGTTTAGCAAATGGAAGTTCTTTGTTTTTTTATTGTTGATTTATGGTTATTCAAATGTTCCCATATAGTTGTTTTGGTTTGACCTACATATTGAAAATTGCATTTGTGACATTGCATTACGTAAATCACACACATTAAACATAACCATTTATTCTCCTGCAGAAGAGCAGTCAACTAATCAAAAAAGCTCGAGTTGTGGGTCTCGTTTTGAAAATATTACAACTTTTGTAGGTGATTCCGTGTGCTAACTACTTAACCTGGATTTCCATTTATACTGATAGACCACTACTGAGGAAGGGCAAATGCAACGTGCTAAAGAGGAAGCAACCTGCTGAGACAATCCAGATCTCCTCCCAGGTGGGAAGATGGAGGGCAGGACCAAGATTGACATAGAAGGAATGGAGTTAGAGTAAGAGGCAAGGGAGAGGCAGTTTGGATCTGAAATAGGCAAGGAAACCATGGTTGTGTCAGCCAGTAAGGAGCAGTCAGAAGGAACTGACACAGAGTGGCATAAATAATCGAAATCACCTGGGGTAGAAATCAGATGAGAGGATAAACATAAAAATACTGTTTGGTCTAACCCCGGCTGAGTGCATCAACAGCTAGGATCTGTGGATGAGGATCTGGATACTTAAAAAGAGGTAATTTGATATTGAAGAAAGTGGCAAATGCATCCAGCCGTGCAGTACCTTACTGGGAGCATAGCCTCTGGAAAACCTGATGATCATGAAACCACTCCACAAGACAAATTTTGTCTGGTCTGTAGAATTATTGAAGTGAATCATGACAAGTTGATTCCTTACAAGAGAAAGAAACTGATCCAAATCACGTTGTACTGCCAGAATCTCCAAAATGTTGAGATGGGAAGACCTCTCAACCATAGACCATTATCTGGAAGATTCCTGTTGATCAACCCACACTCCCCATCTATGAAGGGAAGCATCTGTGCAGAGATGCAAATCCAGATGTGGTGAAGAAAGCAGTACAATCAATCACCAATGCAGATCATCAAGGAGGGAAGGAGGAAGGTAATGAGAGAATCCATGTGATCCCGGGAAAGATCCCATTGGTCATGCAGAGTCCACTGAAGAGACTGCATATGTGCCCAACCCATTGGGATAAGTGTTTCCATAGAAGTCCACATTCCCAAATGCAATAAACCTCACAATTGAAATGGGTGTTGAAAAAACAACAACAACAACAAAAACATCCAAGTAGATAAAATATTGGGTAGGTAACAGGAAAGACTTCTTCAACATTATAATCAACCTACTCAAGCTTCTTCTGCCAAAAGCAGATGAGTGTTGTGAATAACTCTTGTTCAAAATGAGCTAGCAGAAGCCTGATGTCCATGTAGTGGAGTAAGCACAACCCTTGAGTTTGCATAAGTCATGCAAATGCTTTGACCACCTGACAAAAGCCACATGGAGCCAAAGTAAGCCCGAAGGCCATGGTGTAAAAACGATACACAACCCCTTAGTGGACAAACCAAAGATAGCATTTTGACTGATGAGAAATAGGAATATGGAGATAAGCATTAAAGACATCAACCTGGGTCCTCCACAGTTCTGGAGAAAAAACACCTTAGTGTGAAAAAGGACTCCTTGGTAAAACAGGGAAGATCAAAAAATCAGTTGAGGTAGGACAGGTCAATCACAGGATGCCAGACTACAGTTTTCTTGGGTACTACAAAGAACTTGGAGTAAAAATGTGGGGAGTGATAATTAAGAGGCTCAATAGCTTTGTGATAGAAGAGACCATACCAGAGACCAGACGTTGACTAGTAGTAAGATCCTGAGGTAACAGAAAGGATATGGGGAGAGGAAATAAATTGGCTCAAAAGTCTTTCAGACAAAACCTGGATAACCCAAGGATTGGCAGCAAATTCCCACCATATGGTACAATCAGCTAAAGGAGCCCCTACTAGACCGAAACCCACAGGATAGTCACTAGTACTGCTGGTACCAATGAAACCTACATCAAGAAACACAACAAATGGTAGAATCCCTAGTGGTAGGAACAGGTGCAGGATATGGAACAGTAACAGAGGATTGCAGTGGATCAGAATGAGACAAATGAACAACCAAAGATGAAAGGGTCAAATGCTGCCTCACAGATTCAACATGCAAATTCATATTCTCAGGAATATCCCCAAAAATGGACCAAGTAAACAAATCTGGGGCAAAACAGCAATCCTCTCCAGAAGATCACAACAGTAAAGAAACCATGTGTGAAAAGAGAGAGCCGATGAGAATAAACATGCCAATGTGAAGGTAATGAGGGAGAATGTATCCCCTGAGGATCCCTCAGGAGACTGGTGGAGTGTTTCAGAAAGAAAGTGTATGATGGACAAGTACTATTAGAGTCATAAGGGTATTACAAAAGTAGGAAAACTGGACGTTGGATAAACAGATAGGATTGTCTGCCTTTCATGACGAGTTGACTGACCTCTAACTTAACAAGTAATGATCCTCATGTCACATTATGGGCGGGGGGGGGGGGGAAGAAATGTACATCTGTATGTCTACATTTCATGACTGGTTTTTGACTGATCTTTAGAACTTGACAAGTACCCTTAAGTCACCTAGGGGAGTGACACATAGGTCAGCATTAAGATTTAAACTTCCTTTGTCACCCTCAGAGAATTCCCTAAGGGTATGATCTGTACCAAAGTTAGAAGGTAGATTGGGAAACAACATTTCATGTTAAGCATTCAGATTCTACATCCCACTCCATTGGGTAGGCTGGAGAGGGGCGATGTTTTGTAGCATAGGTAATAGGTTTGTTGTGTGTGTGTGTGTGTGTGTGTGTGTGTCTATATATATAAAGAAACACACACATATACATACATACATATATACAAGTTCAATACGTAGATATTTCAAACTTTCTGCAGACAGGAGTCTAGAAAAATATTTTACTTGTAATTACTTTAAATTTCATTCCTAAATTAAATGAAAGCTTAAAGTAGAAACCACCCAATACCATTGGTCTCTTTTTACAAAAACCAAACTACTACAAACAGTTTTCATAAAAATTTGAAAATAAATTTATAAGATGTTTTCAATCCATGCACTTCTTTCAACAAATCAGCATATATATTTAATAAAAAAGCAGCTAATATTCTATACTCTGATTATGGTAATACAAATTTAGATTCCTGATATCACAACTGATTAAAACAAAATTTTATTTAAAAATAACAAAAGGGTATTTAAAGGCTGTGCCCAATAATATTTCAGAGTTATGCATTTATGAAATATCTTCCACATTTTCTTGAAAGATTTACATCCCAAACAATTCATGACAAAGAACACACTTGAATTAAACATATCCCAAACAATTATTGTAACAAAAGAAACATAAGGAAATGTAAGCATAATTTAGAAAAATATCATAGTTGTGCATGACTTTTTATCACTCTACTTTTATCACAGTAAAATATTTCCTTTATTTCTGCAGTAAAATATCAAAACTTATACCCTATGACTACCAACACACTTTAAATTACTTTCTGCACATATCACAAAATATGAGTTACATTCAAAATTTAATTAAAACACTCTACTATCAATGTAATTTAATGAACTTAACATTATTAAATACAAATAATTAAAACTTGTCATGTGATGTATGTGCAGTTTAAATATCTTGCATTTGTTGATTATGTTTCTCTCAGTACCTCTATGACAGTCAAGACAAGCTTCTACAAGTACTAGGTTAAAGTCTAAACATTAGTTTCAATTTATACAGGCATCATTCCAATAATTAGCTTATTACTTGCTCTTTCCCGGCAGATGCCACTACCACATTTTAAAGTAATTTGTTGTTAAGCAACAATCTTTTCTAAACTTGAATGGCATTCTCATAACCAAGAGAAGGGATAGACTTCTCACTTAATTTCTCCAGGCTATAAAGAAACATAATCCATAAATTACTTTTTGAAATGGTAACTGTTGCTTGTCCATTGTCGAGAATGGTGTCCCTAGTGCTTGACTATATTTTCTCGCCTTATACATATTAGTTTGATAGATGGTTAATTTGCATTTAGATTTTACTTTTATATTTTAGCTCATTATGAATTATTTCTGTTTTAAAATTCATATTTGAAAGGTTTAATGATTTTTTAAGTTTACCTGTCATTGCCTCACTTGTGAACACTTTATAAAAATTGGTGTGTGTAAGCCATTTTGCCTACAGCTGATGCATCTCTGCCAATCATACCATTATAATGGTCCACAGGCACCAGTTGACATTTCAGCATAAATAATAAAAGCCAAAGAATTGGAAAGGAAAATAAAACATTAAAAAGAAATAAGTGAAAAGGTAAAAACGTGAAACTATGTATATGACCCACAGATAAAAGATATTTTAAGAATATTCTACAAAGGTAAGTAAATATTTCCTTGCCCTGTACATTGATGATAACTACAGTTTGTATATAGTACAGAAAATGGAAAATAGAATATAAGCATTTACCTTAAAAAAAAATAACCATATTCATTTAGGAGGTTATAGAGATTATACAAATGAAATGTGAAAACTACAATTATAAATATTTTTATACTTAACATGAAAATCACCTTGCAAGTGAACTATCCTGAATCCGAGTACAAATAACTAAATTAAATAACGAATTTCTATTAGAAATAGTATAAAAAAATCAAAATTAAGTTTTATTTTTTGAAACTACATACTTTTAGGAAAGTTCTTGTCATATTTCAAACAATTTCATCCACTATTTTATTTTTGGAAGGAAATATGATGAGAATGACATTACCTACATACATCGTAAAAAGCCAGTAGTCATAGCGCTAATTAACTCTAATTTGAAAATTTTATAAATAAAAAATTACACAGCTAATTGTGAATCACTATGAATGGTTTTCTGGTAGTGTCCATAACAGACTATCAATAACTATATATCAACATACCTTCGGATGTTAAATTTTGGAAATTCAACAAAATTCTTGATTAAAACGGTAAAATTCTTGGTAGCAGCAAGTAACGCTGTATTGTTTTTTCTGAAATAGAGAAATGCAACTTGAATGCTTTGATTATTGTCTACAGAATACAAGAAGAAACAACTAAAATCTATTTCACTTAAGAGTTACTTTTGCCATTGGTTGGAATACATCATCTAAATTTTTCATTCACTAAAACACTAACATGAGCATCAACAAACTTGTTTGACAAAAAACGTTAAAGAACAAAAATATTTAATACACGTATTATTATTAGTCATTAACTAATAAAAATAATTGTACAACCCTCTCACTATGGGCAGTTCAAAGTATGCATATCATGACTTTTTAGTTACACTTCAAATTTAATTAAACTACTTTATCACTGTATATGAATAAACTTAGCACAAAAGTATAATTGATATATCAAATTTTAATATTATGCATTTTAAGTTCTTAGTTTCATAAGTAATGAAATATTTATAAAATACTCAATCTCCCTTAGTATGAGAACTGTGACAGATGCTCTCAAGGTATTACCTCTCCTCTAATCCCCCCTCCCCCCAAAAAAAAGTTCTGAATTTAATACAAATTACTCATTATAACATAGAGGTTACTCAGGCAAAGCATAATTTTTATAGCCTTCAATCTTATCTATTTATGAATTCATAAACTACAAAATCAGACTCCCTTGCCTCTTTCACAAATTGCCAATAAGCTCTTTGTTCCATTTTGTACTACATTACTTATAACCAATAGAAAGCCAATGTTTTAATCTGTCAATTGACAATTTACATTGTTTTCTGTACAAAGAATTGGCTATTTTGCCTCTACTTTGAAACTTTTTCTCATGGTTGTTTTTCATGTGTATTCTTTATCATTATAAAATTAACTAAAATGTAAAAACTAGAAACTTATTAGGTTAGATTAGATAAGATAAAGAATAATAAAAATTCTTCACAAGATATACCCACAAGCAGCTCATGCATCATGTAATTCGATAGGGTAGCATGAGTTACACACTCGCCAAGTGATTTAAAACTTCCATGGCAGAATTATTAGTTAGATATGGTTCAAAAGACAATAAAACAATAAAATCAAAGATAAACTGATGAATACTGTTATGAGCTTTAAGCTATTTAGGATAAACAATTGTAGTTTCATGTTACAATTTGCAGTTATTCCCCAAAGAATAAAAAAA